GCCTCCCTGGGTGCTATAGTCCCACTACCCATCGCATAGTCCCACTACCTTGCATAGTCCCACTATCCATCACAAGGAACAAGTATTCCAGAAAACACACTCTCTGGTTCATATGGAGGCTATATATGGTGTATTATGCCCACAGGTGGAATAGGGAGCTATTCCTCTATAGAGAGGGCTTGCTCATAACTAAGAGAGAGATTTGCAGGACAGTGCCAGAACCCAAGTCCTCAGTGCTCTTGCAAAACCTTTTACATCAATTAAAGTAGGGAATATAAAATTGACACCATCTGCTAGGATCTGGCTTTACGCATATTTTTTTAATAAACAGGTAAAAGACAATGTCTACTTTGCCAATGTATCTACTACAGTTGCAGTTTAGATACTTTCATGTAAGTCCAGTTTGCCAGTTTTCCACTAAGACTTTATTTTTGGAAGATAAAGAGCAGCATCAATCACACAACCTAAAAAATCATTATTTGATTATTTTTGGTTTAAAACAACAATTAGATTTTGTCATCTATACATAATAAAACACCGGACCAAAGATTTGCCCAGTCCACTCTCCCGTGCCTAACAGGATCAGTAGCAGATTCTTAGGAAAAATAAGAAAGAAAATAAATATGCTACTTCCATGATTATTTTAGCCTATATGCTGCCAAGTTCCAATGATGTGGATCTTAATGGATTTCCTGAACTGAAAGTCATGTGCACATCACTGGTTTTAATAGCTGTTTCTGGATCTTTCTTACCTGAATTCGTACAAGTCCTTGCATCTGTTTATCCTTCTGGTTGTCAAAAGTTCTTGTGGCAATGAGTTACACAATTAAACTATGTTTATTTGCTTTGTTAAAACTGCTTGCAAACAGTTCAGTTTGATTTCCCCCTTATTCTTGTTTTAGAAAAAAATAGAAAATATTCATTCTCATCTCGCCTTTGCCAAAATAGTCACAGTTTTATTGATTTCTAGCACATCTCCCATTTTTTCTAAGATTAAGAATTTACCTCTTCATTTTTACCATACTCTTTTGTAAGATAAGGGGTCCCACACACAATATTCAGGAGTGAGCGGATCAAGGATCGTTAACACAATAGCATAGTGATGTTGACTGAATCATCAGAAGCATGATGACCCTCTACCAAGAAGTCATTTTGACTCTCCTTAGCATATCATTTACAAGCACATTTACTGCAAGCAAGCCAGTTCAGCCCACAGCTGAAGACAGCTAGGAGTTTAGCAACTTCAATTTCAATTGCAATTTATGGGACTCTGTAGAATACTGTTTGATTACTGTTTCAGATATTAGTCTTATTCTTTTGAATTGTTTGTTTTAAACTTAGATCTGAGGCAATTCCTCCAACAGACCCTTCAGAAGGTTCCCCTGTAATGAACTTCACTTCAAGCAAGCAAGCACTGCATTTTTTTATTGCATCATTAGGTTCCTTGAGCAAAATGTGTCCTTTCACATCTTCATTACCAGTCAGCTCCATAGACTTCTCCATTACTAGTCAGCTCCATAGACTTTTTAGGAGGCTCCCTTCTTATCTTTGGTTTAAAAAGGATGGTATTGACCTTTCTTAAAAATATTACATTGGGAGCTGCAAAAAGATGTTTCCAGGTGGCATTTTGGGGGGATACCTTATATAAGTATTGTTCTGAATTTTTCCCATATTACTTTCAAAGAAGCTCCTTGTGCCTGGAAAGCTTCTACGCTTTCAACTGCTCCTTTTTATTTCCTTTTGGAGACTTATTCATTTTATATAGTTTTTTACTTATACATAGCACATTTTTTTGGACGTTGAATTTGTGCTACTATTGAAGAGCGGCTTTGTGAGTGGCTGCTTGAAAAGGGACCAAGAGTTCTTTCTCTTCCTATAGGGTCTGTGATTACTTGCTCCAAGCAACAGCCATTTGCAGTGTTTACAAATTTAGTTTCTGCATCAAGCCCTGAGGTAACACTCCTCCAGTTTCCATAGAAAAGACTGATGTCACTCACTTGGAAGAAATTATCTTCTCTCTTAATGTTTCTAGTATTTCCTAGCACACCTCTGTCACCTTCCAAATAAAGTCATTAGCAGCACTGCTCTAACAATATACTATTTCTACGCAGGAAGAGTGTTTCAGTACAGACAGTTTCTGTAATACCTATTAAATTCATCAGGCAACCACCTTATTGTTATTTACTCTATTGGACAGTAAGCTTTTTTGAAACTGTGTCTAAACGACCACAATCTACTTTACTGTTCCTATATAATTTGTAATCTTGAATTATTATGTTCATCCATGGTTTTTATTACATAAGGTCACAGAACCCCTGTTAGGCTAACATTCCCACTGAAAGCTGGGCAGTATAATAGACCCATGCCATGGTTTTTGAAAACTATCATTTATGTAGAAGCATCCATGCATGTGAAATGTATATGGGCACTAGCTCTTAGACTCCCTGCTCAAATGGGACTCATTCTTGAAACTAATTCTTGAAACTAATTCCTTGATAACAGATTTATTTTATTCCTTATTCCTCACTACACCTTACTTACATTTTAATCAATATTTCTCTTGTGTTTGATGGTTTTATTACTTCATCCCTGAAGAACAGATGATAGCAAATTATACACTATCCTGCTTCTACCAGCCTTCCCTCCTTCTTAAGAATAAAGATTCTTTAAAAAACCCTTAATAGGAAGCGCCTCCTTTTACATTTTGGTAATATAGACACTTTGTGCCCTAAAGCTTTATTGGAGGACTGTTCAAGGGCATAGAAAAGTCAAAATCTAAACATTTCTCCATCCAAGAAGATTTGAGTCCAAATCTTGCACATGTCAATATGTTAGCCTGGCTGCTCAGGTCTTTTTCATAAAATGCAGAGGTAGACTCTAGAGTATAGAGCAAAATCCATTATTTCCCATTCTCCATTTTCTCTTGGGTCAAACCTGATCTCTGGACCATCAGCCCGGGTCCCTGCTTAATAATTGCACTTTGGCTTCACAAATTTTTCATGCTTAGCCACACACTTGGCCCCTTTCATGAGAGACCACTAATATAATTCCACTGTTGCTCAAGTTTGATCGAGGAGCATTAGAGAATCATAGAATGGTTTAGGTTGGAAGGGATCTTAAAGATCATCTAGTATGTGGAAATAAAAGTTAAGTGTATCACCAGACACCTGAGTAGCTAGACATGGATTTTGTGACTTCTTGTGTAGGAGTTTAGGCACAGCACTTTACATAGATTTCTACCTTGGCTACGTATTTACTGACTTTGTGGAGATGAACATGTCAATGCCTAGGCTGGAAGACATGTCCCTGTCACATCCATACTGGAGAAGTCCCAGCCACAATAGACACATTCACACTACATTTCGTGATACTCATCCTGTGGTAGAGCAATACATACTTGCATGTGTCATCAACACATATTTCTTATTATTCCAGCTGTCTTGAGGTGAGAGCCGTGACCAGCACAGTCCTATGGCTCCTCTTTTAACTTAGTGTGCAGTTTTACTGCCTGCACCATGCAACAGACATCTTGCCTCAGGGCCGTTCACATCAATCACAGGACAGCTGAGTGTTTATAACTTAACAGCTTCTTGTCACATTGAGCAAGCTCTAGAGCAGAGCTGTATGTGGTACTGCTGTCATCACATCAAAATACTCACACTTATTCAGAACAACTTGGGAGACGCACTTTTCCAAGAGTGTGCCTACATCTCCTGTTCGGAGTGAGCCTGCACAGCCAGGGCAGGTACTCAGCAGAGGGTACCAGAAGGACACGCAAGTCCTACAGAGCCGTAAGACAAGTTGGTGAAACAGGAGCTGCCCAAGTGCTCCTGTATCCAGCATGTTACTGCTTCATTGTCTAAAAACGATCACTCCTTATTTCATATACATGGTCCAAGGGGACCCTCACTCTCTTCCCTCAACCTGTCCCTTTCCTACAAGAGTGATAGGTAATCAGTAACTATGGCAAAGGTTACAGTAGGTAGCGCCTTAGGAGCATTGCCTACAACCTGCAGAAGCAGTCAAAGCACACCCAGAACTGCACGTAGAGACTGCAAATGTCATTCATTTCCTTGCACCACATGAAGAGACCACAGCAGAGTAAATATCCACACTGCAGCCCATGGAGAGGACCATGGTGGAACAGCTTTTTTCCAGCAGCTCATGGAGAGGGAAGGAGTAAGAGAGAAGAACCACTGTGTACTAACCATACCGCCGCCATCCTCCCTGCATCACTTTGGGTTGGGTGGAGGAATAGGGACTGAAAGAATGACATTCAGCTTAG